TCTAAATTCTACTCTAATATTATTATTTATAATTAACGCGTAAAAAGCTATATAAAATACGAGTAGAAACTTAGTTTTTATAATATAGTTAATATAGCTACGTATTAGAATCTTAACTTAGTAGCTATATACTATCTTTAATAGTAAAAAGTAGCTAACGTTAAGTAGCTATAGAAGATATAATAAATATACTAGTATATAGAGAGCTATAATTTTATTCTTCTTATAGTACTACTAGAATTTAATAAAGCTATAGCTTTTATAGCTATCTAAAATTAGTAGATAATATACACCTATAACACAACTCTTAGTATACACGTTAAAGTACTTTAACTACGTAATACTAACTTTATTTATTATCTAGCTACTTTTAGAGATAGCTATAACCTAGTTACGTAGTAGCTAGCTATCTTTATACTACGCTAAAAGATAGTTCTTTTCTATAATAATAAGAAATAGTAGAACCTATATATTATCTACTACTCTTACTATTATAATTACTAAAATCTACTTATAATTATCTAGTTAAAGACTCTTTAGTTATAATTATCTCTTAGAGCTAGTAACTACTATCTAAGACGATATTATTTCTATTATAAAGCTAGATTTATTAAAATTATACGTGTCTTTATTAGTAATACTATACTTCGCCTTTATATTATCTACTAGGTTAAACTACGCTTAAATAATTATAGAATCTTCTTACTTTACTCTCTAATAGTTATACTAGTAATTAAGCTATATTTTAAGCTTAGAATAGCGTATAATAAAGTAGTTTAGCTAGTTCTTATCTATAACCTTTTCTCTCTACTTAGTAAGTAGCTTATTAGCTATATCTTAAATAGTAGTAAGCTAAGATATAAATTCTTATATATCTAGGTTAAGTATATACTTAACTATTACCTACTCTTTATTCTTTATAAGCTTTATTTAATTAGATATCTTTTTATATCTTTAAGTTACTCTATTACGTTAATTATAAACGCGCTCTTAAGGTATAATATAGAGAGCTATAGCGCGTTATAAGCTTAGCTCTAGGTTTTATTAAATAGTCTAGAGCGTAAGCTATATCTAGAGTTTATCTAAAGTTAATTAAGCGTTTATAGAGAGCTTTATAATAGAGATAGTAGTATTTAGTAAAAACTTAGTATTTTTAGGTAGTTTAATAGTATAGATAATTTAATAGTAAAGTATATTATCTATAATTAAATTTAAGATCTCTATAATATAATTATTAATTAGTATTTATAATATAGGTATTATAGAGGCTATAAGTATTAATAAAAATAATAAACTATTTAAAAAATATTATTAAGATAGTAATATTGTTAAGAGTATTAGTACTCGCCTGCGGCAAGTATTAGCTTCGCTAATTTCGCTTGCTTTATAAGCTAAGCCTTAGCACGAATATAGTACTAACCTTAGTTTAGAACTATACATAATATTACGCGAGGCTTAGTCGAGAACATAAAGAATTTCTAGAAGATAGGTTAGCGAATAATAATGTAGTGCTTATAACTAACTATATATATCGTAGGCAGCTGCGTTCTAGTAACCTATACAAACATTGCGAATCTTAACTACGTCTATTTTCAAGGTTCGCGCGATACCATGGTGGCAAGTAATTCTGCAATTGTAACCTTGCAGCTGTCTAGAAATAAGTTAAGAAAAAGGGCCTTTTTAAAGAAAAGTTATGTATGTTCCAGACCTGGTAAGGGATTTCTAGGAGTTAGCTAAATAATATAGTCCTAAGGTGTCCGAGAATGTTAGGCCAGCAGTGTGATTTTATTCTATAGAAGGAGCATGAAGCTAATGCTAGGAAGTTGTTCAAGTAAGCACGGTCGAAGAGGAGTTAAGCAGAGATGAACAAAATCGTCCTATGTAGTACGTGCCCTTTCGGCAGGAGTGCGCTAAAGATGCAAACATATCCTGTATATAGTCCTTTGATTCCAAGTTCGTCGTATGACGGCAGGTGCTTTGGGTGTCGTAGGAATTCAAGTGTATTTAGGTACTTCCGTTTTTGCCCTTCATCGTCCGTGGACCGCCATAGAGAACACTAGACTGATGCCAACATCTCTTACGCCTCTATTGTATCCTTTGCCCTCGTTCTCCTTTATCCTCTTTTTAGTTACCGTGCAGAAAAAATGCCCCGTTTCAGGTCTACGCTACCAAATTCTTGTTGTGCCCTTTGTCCGCGGACTGCCAGGAGGAAGACCCTGGTGCTGATACCTTGCTTGCACCGTGTTGAGTAGTCGTTGACGAAATAGACAGGGATGCGGAAAGTGTTGATGGGAAGCTGTAAGAGTCGGAATTACCGGTGCTACGTAGGACTTAGCTATTACAAACATTCCTGGCTTAGTTCATCATACTGATTGCCCCTAACAACCGCTACCTGAGATTGCTCTTCTATGTCCTCATCGTCGGCCTCAGAACCAGAATCTGAATTCAATGCTCGTTCGCCAACTTGTTGTGCAATGTCGGGTTTGTTCGGTTCCATAACCCGGATAAGGACGTGGTCCCCTTGACTTGGACGAGTCTTTTTCCTGCCTCGAAATTTCTCGGCAGTTAACATAACAGTAGCTTGCGGCTGCGTCACACATGGTGGTGGAGAGGGTGAAGGGGTTGCTCTTAGTCGGACGGGAACGAGGCCAGGAGATCGTGGGCAAGCATCATCGGAGTTATAGTTAAGGGACATCGTTGTAAGGGAGAGAGGCGAGTCTGAGAGACCGAGGGAAGAGAATGTGCTGGCGTTGAGATCGTTGAGCCGCGACTAGAGGGTGTTGTGGAATGACCCAATCCCGCCGTGGCGTGTGAAGTGTCGCCGGAGACGGAACAGCTCTAAGTTCTGGCGCATCGGCACACCCACGGCGCTGCGGGCAATTTGTCAGGTCCATTCCGGTTCGAACGCCGCCAAGGCTTAGAACACTAAACAACTGGCTCCTTATGCGCCCATTTTCAGGGAGATGCCGTCCACTCTAATTCTCGACATGTGTTAGCCGCCCACATTCGCATCCATTCCATATACTCTCCCCAGTTCCTGTTTTACGAATCCTGTGTTTGGTGTCATCCCGTACACTCTCCCGATTTCTGGAATGTGTTACCCGCCCACGTTAGCATCCGTTCCGTATTCTCTCCTCCGCTTCCGCTCGTGCCAAAGTTTATCCCGTATACGCTCCCAAAAACAGTCTTTGGTAGGCGCCCGTCTTCATAGGAATCCCGTATTATCTCTAGATTCCTAAAATAAGTTACCCGTTTTCTGCTTCCGCCCGTGTCAAAGTTTATCCCGTATACGCTCCCAAGAACGGTCTTTGGTAGGCGCCCGTCTTCATGAGAATCCCGTATCATCTCTGGTTGCCCGTCTTCTGCTTCCGCCCGTGTTAAAGTTAATCCCGTACACGCTCCCAAAAACGGTCTTTACGAATCCCGCCATTGCTGCAATCCCGTATACTTTCCCATTTCCAGGAATGCGTCGCCCTTCTCTGCTTCCCGCCCACATTAGCCTCCGTCCCGTATTCTCTCCCCAGTTCCCGTTTTACAGATCTCGTCTTTGCTATAATCCCGTATACTCTCTCCCATTTTCAGGAATGCGTCGGAATTCCCAGTGCCATCTTCAGGGAAATCCCGTACACCCTTCCCCCCGGCAGTCCCGGCAGGCCAATGCATTCCTGTTTTCTAGATATCTACCAAATAAGACAAACAGCTTAAGGTACTATAAACATCCTTCTTCCTAATGCTACCACAGCGCTTCTGTTAGGTTATTGAAGCACCGCATGCACTGTTGAGACATACAAGTGTGTTAGACGCTGTAGTGGGAGAGAGCACGACCACGCGCAAAGATACGAAATCTGGTTGAGTCCTACGGACAGCTCTGTTTTAGATCTCTGAAAATAGACATCAAGAACAGGAATCCATAATGCGACGCGTAATTACGAGCCAATGCAGGTATAATGCACTTTAGCGTCTGCGCGTGGGGATCGGCGCTTTTGAGCCAATAAAAATCCAGTCAAGTATAAGGTTCTGGCGCGTACCAACGTAGACTCCGCGCGGGAAAAAGGGCCGCAAGCGCACGATGTCCTTGTCGAAATCCCAAATTGGGCGAATTGTGGGGTGTGTGAGGCGGAGTAGCCCCAACACTTGCCACGCCCGCACGGGCTTTTGGTCCTCAGGCCCGTTGGGCGGCTATGGGCTATTTTACCCTAGCCATTTTTGGCCCCCTGATCCAGAATAGGATCCGGGGACTTGAATCTACAAACACAAACAGTTTGCATGAGAAAATTTATAGAAAACACTTCATTTAGACATCAGATAAGGATCAAACCAGAGTAATTTTGTATCTATTCTAGAGAATATCATCACTATCCCTATCTTGCTCTAAACATTTTCGATTTTCCGGTTTAGACAACCCCAATCTACCCTACAATCATCTCCAATTTCCCCAGGCAGTCACAGTAATCTACAAATTTTGGTCAACAGGCTAAAATAGGCTGAAAAAAGCTTTATTGTTACTGTTATGTAAGAGCCAATGTCACCCACATCGCTCCCATTTACGTTTGTCTCCGAAGCAAGCTGTCTCTTATGGCTCTTGCTCTTCGTTCGAGCTGCTGCCCAACTTTCCCCTCACGTAGACTAGGGTTGGCGACTTCAAATATAATGTCTTGGAACTGTGGAACTTCCCTTAGCGCCTGAAGGAATCGGCAAAATTCGATCTCTTCTTGCTCGCATGTCAACATCTTTGTTGTTGCAAACTTGACTGTAAGGCTCCTTTGCGTCATCCTTTCGGTGTGGAGTGTATCGGCGAAGTCTCGTAAAATCGCCCGGCTGCCATTCCAGGAATCTTCGAGGTCGATGCGCATCTCAATCTCCCTAACGTATCCAAAGGCCTTTCTGCCAAGGAACCGGAGAAATTCTAACGCCCTACAGCCTAATGATGGATAATGCCCGAGAGGGAGAAGGTGTCCGCCCTAGTCGTAAATGAGTGTGTCTAGATTCAAGCCGTCTCTATCATAGCGAAGCCTAAGTGGCTGGTTGCGATACATTAGACTTATAACTTCCTTATGAATCTGTTTGTTCACCCCGAGAAGCCCAATACTGCTCCTGGAACGCTCGTCTTGAGGAAAGAGCCCTAAAAACGGAGGAAATGCGTGCTTGTAGATCTCGTTTCGTAGTTCGCCAGGAAGTTTGAGTAGTATAGGCTGTCTCTTTGGAAGGTATTCGCCGTGCGCGCCGCAGCAGGTCCATTGTTGGTCTCGTGTACTGGTTCGGAGAAATGGTCGTCCGCAGCGATGCCCACATTGTAGTATTGCTGCACATCGGGCCCTAAGATTAGAATGTTTTCGAAGGCCGCGGCGTAACCATGCCTTGCGCTCCCATTCAAATGGGGATTGGTCTCCGAAGTGAAGTGTACATTCCGAAGCGTGGGACGACTCTTTGGCACTCCAGGTAGGCGTGTACCAGTCCAATGTAACGGTCTGGGTACTATTTTTAAGGAGAGGTCCAGGTCCTGGCCACCGCCGCCGATTCGATCCTCCTCGGGTCTTCATGCTGGACGAAGGAGAGGAAAAGAGAAGGCAGATAAAAAAGTTCGGAATGGAGATGAAGATGATGGGTGCTTCTGGTATGGATACTGCGAGGGATGGAGGGTCGCTTTATGTACAACGCATCTCCGCCACTAACACTGTTCCGAACAATACAACGAGGCAGATTCCGGGGAGATCCCTTCATGCCTCTAGAGGTCGAGAACGCCTTGCTATGCCTCAACAGTAGGTTAATTGGAGGTGGCGATGCTACAGTCCCAAGAATAGTTGCATGAAGATTTAGAAGACTTCCACGCAATGCGCCCCTGGGTACTCACCGTGCTTTGCCGCGATGGCGTGCAACCCATGTCTCGAACAACAGACATGCATTGGTAGAAAAGCACTGCCATATGTCGATCTAGCATGGTTTTGATCCCTCAAGCCGTGAAACTGCAGGCTGCATCACCGACCTTTATGCAGGAGCCCTGCTGCGTCACCCTGTTCGCGCAAGAAGTCATTCTCACCAATCGATCCTGTTTGTCTTCACCCTCCCAATACACCCCACTGCAGGAAATGTCACCTTAAGCGTCAGGAGGCTTCATGCAGATAACCTTGACGAAATACTGAAGCAGCACAAGCCCCTGACGTAGGGATGGCGTCCATGCATCTGCCTAAGACCTTCTCGCCTGAAAATCCCTTAGTATCTATATCCATCGGTAACTCCGTTGCTACGAGGCAGACAGGGGCAGCAGCAAGGTTAATCCGGGCCGGCCCTGCCTGAGTGAAGTCATCCATTGGGTATACGGAGGGGATACGGCACAGCTCTGGAGGCAGAGGCTCGGGGGAGAGCTGGATTTAGCGCCATGTTAGTGGAAACGATCGGATTTGGCGGACATCTTCATGTAGGCAGTGCTAGAGGCTTTGACTTGCATACTCGCGCTGGTATATCCCACTGGTGAAACTTGGGGGTGCTATCACGCTGGTGTTGGAGGACTCGACCCTAGCAAATTCCGAACTCAGCCCGGCATCACTGTATCATCCATGGGCGCGGCGTTGGAATGCTGTGCCACTGCAGGGTTAACGTTAGCCATTCGTTACCCGAAAGGCACCCTTGGATACCATTTGCAGCGTTCAAGCCACCGTCTAGTCACTGCCACATACACCTCACCGGAAGCGCCCAGCTTCATGCAGATCTTGATGACGAAACACCGAGGCAACTCAAACCTCGAATATACAGACAGCTTCAATCTATCTGCAATTAAAAACGCCTCGCCACACGTTCTAGCCGGGACTCTCCGGAATATGAATACGAAACAGCCTTGGGACGGATTCAGGAAAGACGGGTCTAGCACCCTGCTCCACGAATATCACTGTCACGGCATTACAATACAAAGGGATCATCTCCGAACTGCATATTCGACTTTTTTAGCCACTCGCTCTAATGGGATACGTGTCTAGGCTAACTTCGTCCGAGGGCTGATTCGGCCTGAGGTCGACAGCGGATCCCTCAGCTGCCGTAATAGTAGATACATTCCTGCGAGTTACCAATCGCTGAACCATCTTATCTATGGAGCCAGAGCACAATACAAGGGTGCATACAAGCTGAGCAGCTAAGCAGGCCTTGGAAGAGTTAGCTTACGTAATAGCAAAGGGGTGGTAGTAAATACAAGCAATAGAATAAGATTCTTTTCGCCAAGGTCCTTCACTTTGTTGATGAAAGAATACTTAATTAACATTCCTGCTCCAATTGATGTGGATAATGTAGCGAATGTGTTAGCTATGAAAAGGGAAGCTAACAGGCGCAGATATGTTTTATCTTCCGAATCCCCTCTTAACTTTTTGTGTATGTAAAAGTTCCAAGAAGAAGCCACCGCGGGAAACACTGTGCTAGCGGAGAGCACAAATAGGAGGAGAACTTCGTATATAGGCGTTGCGTTAACAAGCTTGTGGTGAGCCCTATGATCTCCACGTTAGAGGACATTTACTATTACTAACGTATACGTACCTGGCCTCGTAGATCATGACACTACAACCAATAGACAGGATAATGAAGCCGCATGGTGCTATAATTGTCCAAGTGTTAAAGGATAAAACCCGAAGCAAGCGAGCTAACTAGATACAATCAGCTGGGGCGGAGATTTTAACGGTGTACCTACGTTTGTGCTGCAGATAAGCTGGATCGTGCAAAATATCATGACTTCAGTCACCTCCCTCGGCTCCTTTTTCTGAAGGGAGATAGCGATTATTGCTATATCAGCTACGAGAACCACTATCTGAGAAACACCATATAGAATGGCACAAGATGTTTCCCAGGGTGAATCAGGAATTTGGTGAAATGTTCTCTGGGTATTCTTGGACAAAATGCGGACAATATCCTGATATAAAAGACAAATACTCGAGATCAATCCAAAAGAGAGGCAGACGAGGTAAAAAACGAGCAAGGGTACAATATTGGCCATAGTGGAGCTGATGAATGGTACAAACACCTTACACAGAGCCTCCTTATATCTTGGAGTGTCTCTAGCCAAGGTTAGAAGTAAAGGAGGCAAGGCGACACCTCAGGGGCGGTGCAGTTCCGCATGGATGCTTCCGATAGTAAAATGGCGCAACACCACTCGAGTCCACCCACCCATCTGTCTCTATGCTGCTCTTGAGACAGGTATGTTGGTGGCTTTCACCCTGAGCCTCATCACTACACCACTTCAGTCTTTTCTAGCGGAATTTTGCCGAAACCATGGTCTCCGAGCATGAATGGGGCGCTGTCGAAAGTGGACCATGCCGCATCCTTCATGCGCGGATTTGATCGATTGGCGGAGATTCCGTGATATCTGCAGGCAAGGCTGTGAGGAGACTCCCTGGAATCATGGGCTGTGCATGAAGCCGACCAGAGGTTGATCTGCACATTCCATGGCTCACCTGAGCAACCAGCGGTTGCCACCAGGTTGTGACGGGTCCTGGTCCGGACAGTGGCATGGAGCCACTGCCTCAGTCGCTCACTTATGCACCTGTCCCATCCAACGAGTAGCCCTCAACGGCAGGAGGGATTCATGCGAAGGTCTCGATGATGCCCGATGACGCCGTTCTTGCTGGGCAGTTCGGCCTGACTGCGGTGCCGGAAGGAGAGAAACCGTTGACTGGTGGCTATGTATAGGGTGGAGCAGGGCAGTGAAAACCGGGAGATATACCCTGCTAGTGGCATGCGGTTCGCTCCGAGTTCAAGGGCAGAACGAATCCATGGTGCTAGCATCTCCGCCGGCATGGGCAGGGAGTGACACGAGGCGTCAGGTATATTGTTCCTGGCGCTTGGTGGTGGCTTTGCTAGTACACGGTGGAGGTGGTTAGCATCCCCTGGCTAGCATGAAAGGACGATGCGCCATCGAAGCATGAATCTGCCTTGGGCTCTCGTCCGTAGGGTGTGGGAGGGTATAAAACCCCTAGTGAACCCTAAACCGTCCACCACTGTTTCCACCTGCCTTTGAAATCGTTAACAATGGGCGATTCGCAAAGCACTGTTGAAGACCCTAGTCTGTATCAAGACATGGTACGTATAAGCGGCATGCGCGTTCTGATGAAATGTTAACCGTGCTAGGATGGTTCACTCATTGCTCCTCTCGAAGAACCAGTATGTGACCACTAACAGCTGCTACTTGTGATAGTCCATTTACGAGATGGACAGGGAAGCGATACGGGAAATGAGGATAAAGTGCTTGGAAAGGGGGCACCTGGTAAGGTGAAGCAGTCTACTCTTGGTTAGTCTTCTAAAATCCCTAAAGATGACTTTAATAATGTTGTTAGATGCGGACACATTGCTGGTAGTGAGTCCTGAGGGGCTTGCCAACGTTCTGTGCGAGGAGCAAAATGCTGAGGTAGACATACGTGCCTTTCGTTGGATGGAGTATATCGACCCTGACACGGAGGGAGAGATATATAGCGCGGAGAAAAAGTCCTGCTACATGGTGGAATATCTAACAAAGATATCCCATCGGCTTCAAAGCTTGCAAGAGGATGTAGGAGGAATAAAGGAAACATGGACAAAGGAAACACGAATGAGTAAGTCTTCGATCCACTCAAAACGCGACGTAGCTGACTTTGCTAGATGTAGCGATCTTGCCGACAGGAGGACTCACTGAAGCGAGGAATGCTGCAACTTGTGTCTCCATCAATCAAATGCTCTGCCAACAGATGAAAAGCATAAGCAGTCTTGAAAACGACATTAGCAGCACCATGAAACATCTGCGAGAACTAGAGCATCAGCTTGATGGTTGGAAAAAGGATGTGGTAGAGATGCGGGATCAGATACGGAGAGCGTCTCGGGGATTTAGCGCGAAAAAGAGAGCGAGGTGGGCAAATGACGATGCAGTGAGATGGACCGGAGGGAAATCCAAAAGACAGAAGACGCTTGATAAAGTAGAGGAGCTAATGTGACGTTGAATTTGCCGCTTTCCTGTTGCAAGTTAGTACAGCGGCGCTTGTCTAGAGTTAGTTAGACTAGAATCTTACCTGTCGGAAAATCTTCCTTGCTTTTGTAGCTAATTAGGAAACATCTTTCTCTTTCTTTCTATTTGTCTACTTATTTACCCCTTACTTTCTACCTTTTAGTAAACCTTTTTATTAGCGAAGAGTACACTTTTTTCTAATTCGAGTTATATCTTAGTAGCTTATTAAGAGAAAGACTTACTAGAGTATCTAGACCTAGAGGCTACAAAGGCTAGTCTATAGATATAAAAATGTAGAATCGTCTATTATAATATACTAAAAAATAAATATCTATATTATATTTATGCTTTAACTTACTAAACTTCTTATTAAGAGTTTTTATTTACTTATAAAAGTTATTATTAGTAGCTCGTCTTGCCTTTAAGCGTATAAGAGTCTAAGATTTCTAATAGAAAGATATAATTAAGCTTAGAATCTATAAACTAGTAATAGAGTAGCGTATTATAAACTTTCTAATTAAAATTAGTTTTCGAGTTTCTGTTTCGAGTCTCTTAATTACTGTAAGTAAAACTAGACGTTTAGTAACCTATTTCGACTCTCTAAAACTATTCTCGCAAAGAAGTTCTTAGTAATCTAGTAAGTAGATTACTTTAAAAAAAAGTAGGTCTAATAACAGGACTAAGAATTTTATATCTAAATTGCTTTATTCTCGAATAGTAAAGAGTGCGATACGCATTACGTTACGATTTTACTAATTCTAATACCCTTCTTTAAAGACCTAGACTACTTAAACTTAAAGTATAGAATTACTAGCCTTCTATTACTAACTAGTAGCTACCTATAAATATTATAATCTATAAGCTATAGCGTTAGTAATAGTAAGTTCTACTCTATAAGACTTACTCTATATTATTATCTAATTCTTCTAAACCTTAGCTTTAAAGCTAGCGTTATCTACTAATAAGTAAGTAAATTAAAATAAATTACGTAGTTTTAACCTAAGTAAGCTATATATTTTATTCTATCTTAGAATACTTTATAATATAACTTAGCTAGCTAGTAACTAAGATACTATTATTCTACTTCTACTTATATAATTATTACTAATATATATTTTATAAGCTAGAAGTCTATAAAATATAAAACTAAGTTAGCTTTAAGTTTATATATAATACTTATACTAAGCTATAAGTAGATAAGTATAATCTAGTTATTACTCTTAGCTAGATATAAAAGCTACAATTTTACTAACTATATTACTATAGAAATTTATAGACATAGTATTCTATAAGCTAGATAATTATTAGTAGATACGTAAGATTATAAATTCTATAAAATATATTTTAGTTATATTATAATATAAGTAAAAGTAGAATAAGATTCTTATATAGAAAACTAACTATAATTAATTATATACTTATATTTAAGATTAATAACTTAAGTAATTATTATTAGATATTATACCTTTATAATTTAATATTATAAGTAACCTAGTTAGCTACTTACTAGCTAGATAGTATTCTATTAAGCTATAATTAGATAAGAATAATCTAATTATTACTCTTATAGATATAATATTAATAATTTTTAGATAATGTACTTTACTATCGAACCGCCTACACCATCGAACCGCCCACGATTTCTTGGCAAGGAAAATTAACGAAAATCAACAAGCTTTTCTTAAATAACTAAGCGAAACCTTAATATTTTTCTATAAAAGTTTATATATATATTCTCTATAGTATATTACACCTAATATTAAAGTTGCACTAAGATATATTACGTAATAAAAAAGCTATATATATTTAAGTAACTTTTAAGAAAAATCTAGTTTACTTCTAGTTAGTACTATTATATCTCTATAATAATCTATAAACCTTATAGTATATAGTATCTATAATATAATAAAGGTTTCTAGAAAACTTCTATAGCGCTAGCTCTTCTAGGTATAGCGTAATAAGAGATAGAAGTTTAAAAAACTCTTTCTAGAGTTTTCTTCTCTAACTATAGATATATATAAATAATCTAGCTGTATAAAGTTATATATTATAAGATTATATAAACTATAAGCCGACTATATATTTAGAAGTAATAATTTTAAGATAGTTTTAGTATCTTTCTATCTTTCTATACTATACTACTAAAAAGACTTTACTTTTAAATAACTACTTAAAGCTACTATATTATTAGTTAATAAGCTCTATATAGTTAAAACTAACTATAATATATAAAATAATAAGTTTATAGAGCTAGATTAACTATATATATATATAGTTAGAAGAAGAAAGCTCTAAGAAGAAATTTTTCTAACTTCTATCTCTTATTACGCTATACCTAGAAGAGCTAGCGCTATAGAAGTTTGCTAGAAACTTTTATTAGGTTATATATACTATATACTATAAGTTTTATAGATTATTATAAAGATATAATAGTACTAACTAGAAGTAAACTAGATTTTTCTTAAAAGTTACTTAAATATGTATAGCTTTTTTATTACGTAATATATCTTAGTGTAACTTTAATATTAGGTGTAATATACTATAGCGAATATATATATAAACTTTTATAGAAAAATATTAAGGTTTCGCTTAGTTATTTAAGAAAAGCTCGTTGATTTTCGTTGATTTTCCTTGCCAAGAAATCGTGGGCGGTTCGATGGTGTGGGCGGTTCGATGGTGAAGTACGTTATAGAAAAAGTAGTTATGCTAATTACTATAGAAATTCGCGAGTATAGAATAACTACTAGAAAATAGAAGCTACTTAAGCTAGTCTAATAGATAAATAGTAGTAACACTTATTTCTTTTAGTTGCTACCTTACGATAAATTAGTTTTAGCAGAGTTCCCCGAAGTGTCTGCTTCGAAACTCGCTTAGTAACTAGAGAGCTAAATAGAGAATTAGCTAAGCATCGAGGTAAGCATAGATAGAACAGAGTTAAACTTTAATATTATTAGCAGAGAAGCTAGAAGGGGCTAAGAAACTCTAAGAAGGTAGATAGAAGGCTTCGAGGCGTCTCTACTAATACTCTTGCTTCTTCTAGGCGGGGCATTACCGTAAACTACTATAGTAACGAATGCTAAGAGAAGAGTATGCCTTATAATAGAACTATTAAAGTTAGTAGATTAGAGAAGACTTATTACTCTTTATACGTATAGGTTATACGAGTACTATAATAAGTCTACTACTCGTAAATTACTACTAGAGTAGTCTTAGAATTCTAGAATTAAGGCGAAGAAATATTACTCTATTCTAACTTAATAATAGCATTACTACTACGCTATATAGAGTATTATTAGTAGCTTAGACGTATTATATATATAAAGATCTTTATATTCGCTTATAATTACTACTCTAAGAATATCTACTATCTTCTTCTATACTTTCTATCTACCTCTTATTTTAGTTTATACTCTTCTTTACTCTATAGAATAAAGACGCGAGAATAACCTAATAGAGAAACTTAGCCTAGTTCTAGCTCTCTACTTAGTAGACATCTAGTAAATACCTAGATAGTCGAAGCGTAATTATACGTATCTAAGTTAAGCGCTAAGAAGATATTCTATATTATAAAATATAAGTATTACTTTAGCGTAATACTACTATATTTATAAGAGTATATAGCCTAGTTATAGCATAGTATTTAAAAATATCTCTATTCTCTCTAGATCTAATATATAGTAATACTTATATATAGATATTAATATAAATAGCTATTTATTTATATAGATATATAAGACTAATAATAGTACTATAGTAACTATAACCTATTACTACCTAGAAGATAGTCTAAGCTACTTAAACTTCTAAGAAAAATCTAAAATAAAATTTATAAGTATGTATTTTCTCTATTTTTAGAGCTTATTTCTTAATATAGACTTAAAGAGAGTAGTATAGAGCTTTTTATAGTTAATAAATAAGTTTATAAAAAAGTTATAAGTCTAATATATAGTATAAGACTACTTAGACTTAAATATAAGAAGAATAACTTAAGTATTAATAATAATTTTTACTATTAGAATAGCTAGAATTACTACGTTAGATACTACTTAGAATAGTATTAAAATATATCTATGCTTCTTTAATTAATTAGCTAAAAAATATTCTAATACGTTAATAATATTAAGATTTACGTAAATCTTAAAGACTTTAAGAATACTAAACGCTTAATTTTACTAGACTTCGTCTATACACTCTGCGCTAAATAAAGAATATAGCTAAGGCGCTTTATAATAAAGTTTATAGTAGTAACGTTAATAGGTAAAAAAGAGAAGGTTAAGTTTTTCTACTTTCTCTAGGTGCTTAGAGAGGTTTTAGAGTTTAAAGACGTACTCTTTAAACTTAAGAATTCGTATTAGCTTAAAGAGAAAGATAGAGAATAGCTTCTTTAGAGAGTATATATAATAAGAGATAGCCTATTATTAGAATAGAAACGTAAATTTAAGTAATTTTAGAAGTAGAAGTACTAAAAAGATATAATTACTATTTAGATTCTAGTAACGTATTCTAGTTCTACGTAAGTTACTTATATTACTAATTTACTATTACTAAGAATAGTATACGTATTAACCTACTCTTATATCTAGTATCTTTTTTAATATTTCTAAGTTATAATAAGTATAGTAAAGTATATTACTTTAAGTTTAGTATATTAAAGAGTGTAGAAGATATATAGAATTAGATATAGAAAGAGTCTTCTAGAATTCGCGTAAAAAAGAGAGTAAGATAGGTAAATAATAACGTACTAAAATAGCCTAGAAAGAAATCTAAAAGATAAAAGATACTTAATAATTAGAAGAATAGTAAATAGTAGTAGAGAAGCTAATATAAAGTTAAATTTACCTCTTTTCTTTTATAAGTTAGTGCTTTAGCACTTATCTAGAGTTAGTTAGACTAGAATCTTACGTGTTAGAAAATCTCTCTTACTTTTATAGCTAATTAGAAAACTTCTTTTTCTTTCTTTCTATTTACTTACTTATATATCTCTTACTT